AAGCGTAGTCAAATTTCTTTTTTCTTTTTTTTTTAATAATGATATGATGATTTATAAGTTTGTATTGACAATAAGAATTATTATATAAGGTAATTGTAATTGTGACTATGAAGTGAACGCACAAAACTGATGAACCAACCGACTCACTGTTTGTATAGGGGAGCTGATGTTTTTATGTTTTGTCTGTCTGTTTGTATGTTAAAAAATAATAAAAACTTTTATAAAAAAAAGATTCCAGAATGTCACAGAAACCAAAGAAGAAGATCTAGAAATGATAATGACAGAACTGATAGCAGAAGCTCTGCAAAGAGACGAACAGAAATCCTGAATGAATTGGACGAAGTATATAGAATTCACATGAATTACGCCAGAAGGCATAGATTGCTGAGAGAAATTCACATCAGGTTTGCACGAAAAAAAGTAAGAGACATAATTTATAGGATAATAAGAGATAAACTTATGGTCTACAAAGAGAAAGAGATACAAACATTGAAGCAGATCCCGAGAAGGGTGACAGATCAGAGAAGGGACTACCACTTCTTGGCAACACAACTGACTGAAGGGAATATATTGTTCAGATGGTTAGTACTGGAAGGAATGATGGTTTCTTGGCAGGAGAAAAAGATTAAAGTTGACAATTTAGGCAAGGCACAGGAACTGTACAATCAACTTGTGGGGATGGAAGAAGAACACAGTAGCAGAGAAGCCAGAAGCCAAGAAGAGCAACAACACAGAATAAAAGAAGTAGAGCAGGAAGAAAGAAGCAGGAAGGAGAAAGAACAGCATTAAGAGGAAAGTGCAAGAGCAAGAATACAAAGAGACACAAGGGCCAACAGAAGACAAAAACAAATGCACAAATAGGAGAATGGGAGAAGAAATTTAAGCTAATATCAATAAATATCAATGGATTAAACTCACCTGCTAAAAGAAAGCAAACATTTGTAAAATTAGTAAAATAAAAAATGGATATAGTGTTCCTGCAGGAGATACATATTAAAAAACAACATAGGAATTGTTTAGAATACCCCAAATTAGGAATACTCTATGTGGCATTGGCAGATGAAAAAAAAGGGATAGCCGTATATGTTAGGGAAGGGATAAAAGCAAAATTAATGTACGTAGATATAAAAGGAAGAATATGGAAAGTTACAACATAATATGGAAGAGAAAAAAAGGATTACTTAAAATTATTTTGAAGGCTGTTACAAGAAGAAATAGCGAAGGGCAAAATAAGGGATTATTTAAAAGGGGAAAATATTCCTCTGAAAGCAGAAGAAAAGAGAGAAATGTTAAACAGGGAAATAACACCAACAAAACTGAAAAAGGTAGTGCAAAAACAGAAAAATAACAAAACTACAGGTCCAGATGGACTTCCAGGGGAAATATATAAGAATATGGGCAAACTGATAGAACCATTAATGTTAGAAGTGTACAGTGATGCACTGATGGAAGCAAGGATATCTGAATCTTGGAGGGAAGCTTATATCTCCTTAATACCAAAGGAGAGCAGATAACAAACAAATTCAAAATTATAGGCCAATGTCATTGTTAAATGTCGACTATAAAATATTCACAAATATAATAGCAAAAAGGATGAAAAATTTATTAAACGAATCCATACATTAAGATCAAAATGGATTCTTGCCAACAAGAATTAGACAAATTAGGAATAAAAGACAAATTAGGAATAAAAGAAGAACGGTAGTAAACATATTGGAGGACTATGAAGCCCATCCAGAAAAACAAGCTGCTCTAATTTTTCTGGATGCTCAAAAGGGTTTTGATAATTTAAATTGGCAGTTCATGATGCAACAAATTAAAGATATGATTTAGGAGACAAATCTGAGAAAATCATAGAGGCGACATACACCACTCAAAAGGTGAATATACTATTAAACGGGGATAGTACAGAGACTTTCAAAATAATGAAAGGGGTAAGACAGGGATGTCCTTTGTTACCTCTACTTTTTATCCTGACACTAGAAATATTATTAATTCCAATTAGATAAAATCCAGAAATAAAAGGAACTAAAATCAAAAAAGAAGAATATAAAATTCAGGCTTTTGCAGATGACTTGGTTTATTTCATAGAAGACACATTGGAGACAGGAAACATTTTAATTCAAGAAAAAATATGGAGAACTGGCAAGTCTCAAAATTAATAGAGAAAAGACTAAAATATTAGCTAAAAATTTAACAGAGAATCAGAAAAGAGAATTAGAAAAGGAAATGTGACTGCAAATCACAAAGAAAGTCAAATACCTAGGAATATGGTTAACTGAGAGATATTCCTCGATGAAAGAAAATAATTATATGAAACTTGTTGCAACAAATAAAGAAAGACTTGGAATTGTAGGGGAAATTACAATTATCTTTACTAGAAAGAATCACTACAATTAAAATGAATGTTCTACCTATTTTACCTATTTCAAACAATCCCCATACAATTAGATAACTTTTTTTATGGAATTAAACAAAATTACTTTAAAATTCATATGATTAGGCAAGAAGGCTTGAATAAAATTAATAGCACTACAAGATAGTAGAAGTCGAGATGGCTTTGGACTTCCAGAATGGGAACATTACTATAACGCTGCAGCCTTGGCATGTATTAAAAATTGGATACATTTGAATAACGAAAGGATTTTAACTCTGGTAGGACATGATTTACAGATGGCATAGCACACCTTCTTGTGGGAAAAGAGAAGCAAGAAGCATAAATACTTTTACAGACATCAAACGAGAGATTCTCTGATACAGATTTGGGAAAAGACTAGGAGAAAACATTATTTGAAAATATCTGGTTGTCTATGCACCATGGAGGTGATGATTTGCCCCAATACATTGGTTTAGGCAAAATAGTTAGATATAAAGAAATATTAGATAATCAGGGAAAATTAAAAACTAATCAGGAGTTAAAAGACCAAGGCATATTTAAAGATTAGTGGCCATATCTTCAACTGCAAATGAGATGCAGAACAATACAGATTTGATATTGAGTTGCAACAATTAGACAAAATTTTAGTAGGCCTGGAGGAGAAATTTATAACAAGGATGTATAATTATTTATTAAAATATGACACAGAAGAGGAAGTAGTAAAAGGTTTTTTGTATGGACAAAAATTTTGGACACAAAATTTGGGAAAATTGAGAAAAAGATTGGGAAAAAATATGGAATAAAAACTATAAATTAACAAGATCGGCAGCTTATAAAGAGAATCTATATACGATGTTTACTTATGGCAAAAATGTATCCCAATATGAATCCAAGATGCTGGAAATGCAAACAAAGCCAAGATACCTTCTCCCATATGTGGTGGCTATTCTCAGAAGCCCAAAAATACTGGGTCAAAATATGGAATTGGCTACAAGAAATAGTGGAAGACCAGATAGAGTTTAAACCTGGACTATTCCTTTTAGGAATAATAAAGGGGAAATATAGTAAAAAGATTAAATATGTGATACTACACATAACGATAGCAGCGAGGACTGCATTTGCACAATATTGGAAGCAAGATAGCATGCCACCGGAGGAATTAGTAATCCAAAAGATATTGGATTGTGCTGAAATGGACACGCTAGAGTTAAATGATAACAAAGAGTCAGAGTATTATATGGTTTGGGACAACTGGTACAAATGGCTGAATAGTAGAAATAAGAATGATAAGAGATTAGAAAATCGTAGATAAATGTATATGAATGTATATAAATGTATGAAAATTTTTATATATAATAATGATGTCACAGTTCCATTAAAGATGAGAATAAGATTTGTAAAATGTGAAAAAGCATAAAAAAGAGATCAATAGTTTCTAAAAAGTTAAAGCTTTGTGAATTTATTTAACAATAACATTAAATTTAGACACAGCTAGGTATAAGTTGCTTCCATATGAGAACAGTGCTCAGCACTTATTTACAGATGTGTCACCTGGAGTCAGAAGGTAAATAAATTTAATATATTATAGTTGGTAACACAGTCATCCAGATATTTACACTGCATTTGTATTTCAACCCACATATAGAGTCTTTTCCAGTGACTTGGGAAAGGCAGAAGTTGTTGTCTTGATAGTGTTATTATTATTATTTGAGATACTTTACCAAAAAGACCAGTATCATCTCTTTTTTTTGCATTGATTGTCGATTTTTTTCTATCCTATCCTATCCATCCTATTTTTTATTCTATTAATTGCTTGTTTCTTCATATCACTCTTTCTATATTCTCTTAACTTTCCTACTTGGCTTCCTTATAAGCTTTGGAGGAGTGCAACTAATCTACTATTTTGTGAAAGATGGATGTAACATGTATGACATCCCTTTTCATTTATTTAGATTTAAGGTATAGAATGGTATTTATATCTCTTTGTTTGAGTCCATTCTGACTTCTGTAGCCTTTATTATGAGATAGGCAAAGTGATAGTCAGAGATAAGGTAATGTATAAATATTTTAGAATAAAAACAGAGCAGTGTTTTAAAATAAAACTTATAAATAAAAATAAATAAAATTAAATATCATCTCTAAAATAAGTAACTTTTTCTTAATTAATGACTATCTTCTCTGGTTAAATGGCCAAAGTATTTTTGTGGGAATACATGAAAAGCATCAAGTTTCTGGCTACCTTATACATTATCTGAAAAAAATCTCCTGGGGTGAGTGAGAACATTCAGGCTCAAACATGTGTCCACATTTATATTGCAAGATGTCAACTTTGAATGTTATTGTCTGTGATAAGTTGGAAAAAGCCAACTGCTGTGATTGTTGGCATTTTAAATACATAAGGTCCCCACATAATTAAATTGTATTTTTTTAAAATTCCATTGGGAATTTTACTCTCTCATTACTATACAACTTGACCAAAGCCTCATTATGAGGATTAATCTGCCAATCTCCAATACATTTAATAACATTAGCAAAAATATCTGCAGGGGAAGATATCTCATTAAATCACATTTGTCTGCATTTCTCTTTCATTCAGTAAAGTTAATATAAACAGTTGGCTTACCTTGTCATCTAATTTTCTTGCACTAAAAGAAAGCTCAACATAGTCATCATTGCCAGATAATTCTTCAGCGATTACCTATGTGAGAAGACAATGGAAGGCAAGGAATGAGGAATAAAATCTTAGGCAACACAATCTAATGATATGCATGCATGGAGAGCAGAAAGATTCATGAGGCCACAATGTGATAACTTCACTATCAGGAATGGAACACAAATGCCAATATAATTAACAAATATTCCATTTCTGCATTCTTGCAGGCCATATTCTCCAGAACATGACTGGGAATCAGAAGCGAACACATACTTCCAAACCTTTGACATATAACATTATTTTCTATGTTGATATTGATATATGTTATTTGAAACATTTTATCATATATATAATATTTGATATGAATCATTATTAATATATCCATATCCTTTTTATTGTATATATTATACTATAATATCTTAGTATTAATTTGCATACTGTACATATTATGCATTGCTGCATTGTTATCACTCAATGTCCAGAATAATCTGAAGGTTTACAATATTTCAAATTTGCATATTGATCTGAAAAAAGCTTCATTTTCATTTAAAAATGAAAACTAAACACACTTGGCCTCTCATTCAAGTACAAGCATGGAGCTTTTCTAACCCTTTGAGAGTTAAAAGCCAGACTTTTATAGAAAGATGTTAAGGTATAACATACAGTGTCTATGGAGAGATATAATATGCAAATGTGATTTTACTCCCAATATTCATTTACCTAAAAAAATGTTTACTAAATAAATGGAATAGGGAGGCTTGTTTATCTGCATCAAACAAAACATGAGAACCACTAGGAACCAGATAAAATAGCTTTGAAATTGAAGCCAACGTTGTGATTTGAAACGATGTGTTTAATTGTTGTGGCCTTGTTATCTACATGCCCAAACATGTTAACGGAGCAAAAGAACTATATGAGCTGGGCACAACTATATCTGCAGCAGGGGTGGGATTTAAATTTTTTAACAACCAGTTCTGTGGCCCTGGCTAGGTGGGCGTGGCTAGGTGGGCATGGCCATGTGACTGGGTGGGCATGGCTTCTTTTTTTTTTTTTGGCAGCAACCCCCCCATTTTTTTTGCCTCCTGGGCCTCAGGGAAGCCTCCATTTTTGCTCCCAGAAGGCTTCCCTG